CTCGACATCTGAGGGAAGGCACTCACGAAGGAAGACAGCTCAGAACCAATTAAACGATTCGGACTTCGCAGATGATCTAGCCCTCCTATCCAAAACACATGAACAAATGCAGATAAAGATAGCCACTGTAGCAGAAGTCTCTGCATCACTACGCCTCAAAATACACAAGGCGAAAACCAAGATCCTCAAATACAACACGGAGAACACCAAACAAACCAACCACACTTGATGGCGAAACTCTGGGAGATGTAGAATCCTTCACATACATGGGAAGCTTCATCGATGAACATTGAGAATCAGATGCAGACGTAAAGGCGAGGATTGGCAAAGCAAGGACCGCATTCCTACAATTGGACAATATATGGAACTCAAAACAACTGTCTGTCAATCAATATCAGAGTGGGAATCTTCAATACGAGCGTCGAGGCAGTTCTATTGCAAGGAGCTGAAACTTCGAGAACTACAACAACCACCATCAATAAGGTACAAGTATTTATAAATATTTGTCAACTCAAGATACTCAACATCCATTGACCGGATATCATCAGCAACAGCCTTCTGTGGAAGATAATGAACCGGCTTCTAGCTGAAGAGGAAATTGGGAAAAGACAATCGAAATGGATAGGACATAGATTACGCAAATCGTCAAACTACATCACGAGGTAAGCCCTAATTTGGAGTCCCGAAGGGAAGCGGAAAAGCGGAAGGTCAAAGAACACATTACATCGGGAAATAGAATGAGATATGAAAAGGATGAATAACAACTGGGATGAGCTGGAAAGGATTGCTGAGGATAGGGTTGGATGGGGAGTACTGGTGAGCGGCCTATGCTTCTTCACTAGGAGTAACAGGGGTAAGTAAGTAAGTAATATTAAATATCATTGTTATATTATTCATTCTAATAATCACAAAAAGTGACTATTGCACTCACTCAGTGTTGATGTTTTATGGTTTGACAGTCAGCACAAAATTCACTAAACCCGTTTTTTTTCACTTGTTCATTGACAGCCCATCGAATGGTATGCTACAAGTTAACAGTTAAACATCGTTTTCTATCCTGTCTCCAAAATATTGTACTGTACTGTACTGTACACTGTATACTAGATTTGTACAACACTGATAATGTATTTTCAAGGTGATAAATTGACAGTATATGCATCATTCAAATACTGACAAGAATATCACACATACATTGTGTTATATGTCGTCGTCCATTTGTTATGACTGATCATCGGTGATTGTTATGTCGCAATTGCCTATTACTTATTTCTGTAAATGAGAAACCACTGCAAGGTGCACGTTATTTCTCAAAATCTATGAGGATATTTATTTACTTACTTCTATTAAATGCGGTGATATAAATGAGAGTACTTTTTCATCATATGGAGAAATTGATTTGAAACTATATGATGAAAGCTCTCATTTTTTGAAAAAAATTCTACTCAAAATTTTACATAACTGGATTTAATTGAACTTGAACTTGTAATACGTGTTCGTGAATATATATACAATACATCTAATTAACCTTAAGTGTTACTGAAATAGTTATAATAATGTATGTATCTTAGTTCCTAACTATTTCTTTATAGTTGGATGAATTATAGAAATAAGTCACGTATGAAAATATCTCTTGTCACGTACTGAATTCAGCCGTTAAAGTGTAGGGTGAATTTGTTTTAAAACTAATAGAATTAAGTTTTTTGTTTCTTAGCATTATCCGTCTATAACACAATAACTCATATCTATGACAAAATCTGATAATGCACTATGAATAATTATAGTCTGAGGATATTTTCCAACTTTTTTGGTTATTTGTTTATGATGTAGTTTCAAAAAAAGCGTATTACGTCTATCCGAGCTCGATTACCGCTATTGATATAATTTTTAAATAAACAAATTAATTTCACAACTGGTATTTTGTTTATGATCTGATGTACTGTCACGTATGAATAACTTCGTCTAATAATATTTTTTTAGACCCATGAAATACTCCAAATTTCTAATGTTTGTGGAATGTAGCAGCGTAAATCCAACGTAACAGTTGGTTATGCATGAGTTACAATAATAAATTAGCACTTTCAAAAAAATCTCTATACACCGAGCTAATAGTAATGAAAAGTGTAAGACTTCACATTATTTTGTTGTGAATTATTATTTCCAGACGTCATAGATATTTGGAGTATCTTGATTAACTTTAATTATGTAAAAAATTTGTGTATCAAGTTATATGTAACGATAAGGTCCAAATTTAAGCAGAGAAACTATATTAGGGTCATTATTAATTGATGAGTAAAATAATAATACAGAAGTAAAAAAACTATAGGTTGGGATAATTCGTTAACAATGAAGGATAGTACTAGGAAAATTTCATTAATTATCTTCAAACATCAAATTCTACACAAAGTATTCCAATTCTTCACTTAATAAATAGAATTCGATCAGTATCGGAGACCATACAATATGGTATGAGGTTTGATAAGCATATCAAAACGCCTCCTATAAAATTTAATGAAGAAAAGCAATCCTAATTTTGCGAGAAATTAGTAGACTAACTAATTACTGAGTCAGAAGATAGCATCTAGAACTCTTATGTATTGACTAATGGTTAAGATCATAAGTCAATGTTAGTTAATATTCTTTCAAATCACTCATTGCTGACATTTGAGGTCGTACTATCAGATTGTTCTTTGCGAATATAATAATTAGCCAAGTACAAATGCGTAGTTATTTTTCTATGGTCTATTTTTACAAGATGCATTCATACTCTGTAAGTAAATCTGCAGTACTATTAGACTTATTTATATTAGAGGAAGACATTCAGAAAAAATAGTTAACAATTTTTAAACTTTGATCATGTTTTGTGTGATTAATACTTTCATTTAAAAATAACTGAAGCAGATGAATATTGATATGGTTTTCTTAAATAGCTAGTGGTTAGAAATTAATTAGTTTGCTTTAGTATAATGAAATGTTGATTTGATCCCAGAGGAAATAATTTACTTATTTAAACATTATACAATTAAGCATAAATTAAAAAACAAAGTTGTATGATGTTTTCAGACAAATTTTCCTGAGGAATCAAAATAATTGAGCATATACTAGGCAAACTATCTGTATCTTTATTTGAACGTATGTAAAACAGTTCGTTTTTCTCACAATTAAGATAATTTGACTACTATTATTTTATATATTTGTGTGGAGATTTTGAGAATCTGTATGATTTATAGGTAGTTTTATCATACAAAGCGTGTCAGTTAGAGAAATATTACGAAACTAAGAGACGACAGACAAATCCGCAGTTCATAATGATGAATAAAGAATTGAATCCAAAACCTTCATGTTACATGGTGAACATATTAACCAATATCCTCAGTATATAGGAGTTTATTTTTAAACTCACTCACTCAGCAATGATATATAATTCTTTTGACTAGATATTTATCCCATTCTAAAGTTAGTTAACCTCTTGATTGACGATGATTCATTTGAACATCGAAAAATCCATCGCAAATCCAACTATTTGGACATGAACTGTCGACTGACAAATTAAGAATTAGTAAGATCGAATGGATGTATTCTTTATGGCTTCAAAGATTTAATAGCCTTTGCGCTCATATTTTTTCTGTTTTACCAACTTTAGAAATAGTGACGAAAAATCCAGTTATTTCAAAGTCATTATATTACTATATTGTACATGTTAACGAACATGAATAATAACACAGTAGTTATATTACTTAGTTTGTTTTAATAATGAAAACAAAAAGGTCTAATTGTCAGGTAATTTATATAACATATTGAGAAAATGATGATATATAAATGCTAAATAAATCATCGTAAATACCTCATGTGTTTTGTATAATAAATATATGATAGATACAAATTTATCACCTAAATAAAGTCAATGTTGTCTAAGGAAGATATGAGTTTAGTTGAATTGAAAATCAAAGATCAATATGTTCAGAAAATATACGTTGGAAACAATGATGGGTAGTGGCTAGCAGTGGAATCCAGGAAGCGCGTTTCGTTCTATTTGGGACTCGTCAGCTGGATGCACCTACATCTCAGAGTTGATGTTCACTCTGGGACTGATCAGTTGCAGTCTTAAACCTCATTGGGAAGATACAAGCCAAACAATACCAAGTGAATTAAATATACGTTGGAATTATACAAATTATTAGCTTATTTTGTTTCAAGTACTTTAGTCCCGCACTAAAAAATGTGGATTACATGAGAGTCGTATAAATAAGTCCACATTATATGAGTGTAACGAGGTCAGTTGGATAGACATGGTTTCAGTCAATCGTCTATTAGTAGCCAGCTTTATTTAAACTGAAAAATAGCTCTTGCTCCTCAAAATTCAAGCGGCATTTAAATGAGTGTATCACACTGAAGTATGTGTATGTATTTACACATACATATAGAGATTTATTAAGCCGTAATCAACTAAAAGACGTTATCGAGGATTTATCTTTGTATTTCATAGTAAATATAGTTGAAATGCATTACCGAATTCATGCATATCATTTTTTCTACTGTCGTCTGAAAGTACAATAACAAAAGGCCGAAATTTCTTTTGTATTTGAAGCTATATGAGATTGCAATAATCCTGACCTTCCATGAACTGATTTAAGTTTGTCATCAAATATAATATGATTCAAGGTTTTTCTTGATAATGCTCTTATGTCCCATAAGTACAGCTCGACGTTTTAATTTCTCATACATATTTGAACAATTGATGCATGGGTAAATATCTTAAAGATTTGTTATTTCATTAAAGTTTTGAATATTATTTTGATTTCAGAACTGAGGTGAGATATTTCAGGCAAATTGCTGACTGCCTCTAATATTTATATTACCATCCTATATGGATTGCTGTCCATCAAAGTTATATCTGTTAAATACCTCAAGTAATATGTTTTAATTCTGCATATTAGTTCATGAAAACGTTAGTATCTTAGCTACTCATAAACATTAAAACAATAAATGTAAAAAAAACTCACCTCACTGTCTTCTGCACCTAACGTATGACATGGAAGATAAGCATTTTCACCAGTTTCATAAGTTAATAACATTTTAATTAATTTCTGTTTATGACTGAAAGGTTGAGATAAACTTATTTCAGAACTATGGTATAATTTATGTATATCTACATTGGGGAATTTTCTAATCATTTCATATAATGGATATGGATTTAATATACATGGGACTTCTTGTCTACCATCTGTATTCAAATAACAATCTCTATGTACTTCATATCCGCTTATTGTTTTCATCATGGATGTTTGATTTGGTAAATAATAGATAGATAAATTCTTAGAATGATGATAAACTTTCGAAAGATCCTTGTTATACGATTCAAATTCAGTATACTTAGCATGTGGTTGATTTGTGATAGTAGCAACTGAATCATCGTTTAATAAGACATGTCGTGCTACCACTTTTGATGTTGACGGTAAATGTCCAAATTTCATAAACTTTTGTTGTTCTGTATTTTTATATTGTTTGTTAACTTGATAACCGCTTGGTTGTTGTTGGTATTGATATTGACTGTAATTTCGTAATTTATAAGTGGAATTCTGCTGATGACGAATTCCATGTAACAATGGCAGATGAAATATCCAATAAGGTATAATTTCTATGGTTTTGTATAGCATTATTTCTTTTTGTAAATCTTGTATAACAAAAAAATTTGAAAAGAAAATCATACAAGACCATCATTCATAAAATGGATTTACAAAATATCATTTCACTGATATATACGGTGTTATACAATGTATTATCTAATTAATAATGCAGTGGCAACAATATTAAATTTTGACAAAACCAAAAACCGAATTTCGGTATAACTGTATGATAACTCATTGTTTATCGGAAAATTGAAATATTTTTACAATTTCTAATTTTAATCTAGTAGTAGTGTGAATTCTAATACAATACCAATGACTTTCATTCTCTTTCACTTTATATGTCTAGTAATACATAAGTCTTGAATTTTATTAAACATCATTTATTGACTGGCATTAGTTTAACATTTATATTTGTAATTTACTAGTTGAGTTCATGAGTCAATAGAAGTTAGACCACCATCGAAAACCTGGAAGAAATGGACGGCCGTTTCGTCCTAGTATGGGACTCCACAGCAGTGCACATTCACGATCTTGCCAGGTGGGACTCGAACCCAGGAACTTTTGGAACTTTCGCGAATGATTAACCTCTCTGAATCTATATTTGCCTAGATATATAATGATTTTATATATAAGTGTTTCATCCCTCAATATTTTTTATTCAGATTTTATTGCTCTACACTAAATATTTGTTTAAATTTTGACTGTAAATTCCATTTAGTTGTAATGTTTAAAATTCAGGTATTTTATTTGTCGAAAAACGTAATTACAAGCTGTTTACATGATTGTTTAGTCAGAGTATTTGGTGAGAATAACTTTATTAGGTTCATCATATTTTACACAACTATGTAGCACAATTACGTCAGATCGAAATTCACTCAGATGTGATTTAAGCGTTTTAAGAGATATTTTCTTCAAATTAGATTTATTTTTCCCGGGGGCGTAAAGTCGATTTGTTTCATTCCATATTGTTATTGCTTAGCGGAATGCAATAAATAGGTAAAACGAAATGTGACATATAAGGATGATCTAACAATTAATTTAAATCTGTCACTACACACTTAAATTTTTCATGTAAATTAAGTCGAAATCTAGATGTTTGTGACTTTTCATTGCAATTTCAGAATATCTGTCTGGAATCTGGTTATTAGTATATGTGGTGTAAATAGTTTTCCTGTTCTCTACAAACACCTGAGATTCTCCAAACGGTGCTATTTCCTGATATTTATGCGTCACAACCTGTATTGTGAACCTTAATACTATCCACTATTAATAGAATTTGATACACACTAGTTCATACAATTTAGTAATATCTTTTAGATTCAGTGACAATGGAAATTATTATTGTACACTGATCATAAATCACTGGTTTTTCACCTTGGCAATAATCATATGATCTGACCGAACATTAAATTCTGTTTTTGGGTAGAAATACAGATACTATCTGTAGAATGCATTCATTAATTAACATGAATATTAAACAATTAAATCAGGCGTAATAAGTTACACCCATTGGTTAGGTAGAAACGTATCACTAAGCATACTACTTATTTAAAGGTTGTTTCTTATTATAACGATTACTTGCTAGTATTACGTCGACAGATAAAACTCCACTGTTAAAGTTTCACGCATGCAACCATTTTATTACGTATAAAGAAGGATGAGATACCTTCAGTTATAATTACTTGTCCATAAAATAAATGACTTGTGATTGTGAAATATCCTAAAACATACTTATATTCTTCAAAACTATTTACATAAGTTTATTTTAATGCTGAAGGCGAAAAAGGTTTCATTCTACATCTCACTTCTTTTATTAAAGTTGCTTAACATTATCCCAATTTTTTTACTGCAGCGTAGTTAGTCTTAAATGCATGATGGTGGAATTTTGGTTAAATGGATAAAAATGTCACATACAGATCAATAAGAGTAGAATCAGTTAGTACACATTCTCAACTTCATTTATATGTTCAAAATGATCAACTTCGAGAACGATTCCGAAGGTCCCAGTTCAAAACTATGACGAGTGGAGTGTAATCGAGTTGGATGTAAAATAAAAAATTCCATAATCAATCAATTAAGGGCATTGAACATAGAGAATCAAATAAAAATGGTTATGTTACACATTATGTGTAATCTCAAATATAATCCACACAGAATTAGACCTGAAAACTCTGCTTTTGATGAGTGCACTTTTTTGTATCCCGGATTTCAATAACCATCTAGTGATGTAAACTGAAATGATATATATATATATATATATATATATATATATATATATAAAGTTTCAGTTTAAAAGCTAAAAGAATATTTCTCCCGATTACATTTATCTGTTTTCCTTTAAAAAGACAACATTTTGGTTTGCAATAAATGATAACATACAACGAAGTTTCTAAGGTCAGTCAAAACAATCAGGTGAAAACAGTACCTCTTTTTTAGTAACAAAATTCTGGTCGTAAACTATTCATCAGTATCATCAGTAATCTTTTCAACTTTCATTCAATATTTATAAAACGATGATCATAAAGTTACACATTAAGCGTACAAGTGATATGACTAAACATTTAAAGAATTATCCTAATATTATGTCACAGATATCTGTGTAAAAGTAAAATCAGAAAAAAGCTGTGAGAACTCTCTCATAATCTACTGCATTTGTTATTGATGATACAGCATAAATCAGATTTATACATTCAGATAGTTTGTTATTATCAAATTCAACTAATTTTAATTTTGGCAGGATCATGTTTATACAGAGGAACAAATGTAAAAGTATATTATATGCCTTGATTATATCATGGTTTTATCAACGTGTATAACCTATGCAGTTTATTAATTAAAATTATTCTGCATAACGTTCAGTGTTAATGACATAAAGTTGATTGCCTACATAGCTTCATTCATAATTAGTTCACGTTTTGGTAAAATAAAAATTACACATTTATGATATAATGGAATGAGATTACAGATAAACAACCAATACAATCACTTCATGTAACGTTTCATGATGATTAACCATATGACAGAGTTCCTCCAGTCTGTACAGCAGAAGAGTTTGAAATATCAAAATATATGATTAAATTTTACACATTTGTTAGTTTTTATGCAATTCTATTCAGATATATTGAACCATATTTTATACATTATTCAGATATATTTTTCTATCGCTACAAGTATACTAGAGTAATTTTAACTTCAATAATACAACTAAAACACCTATTCTTATTGGACTATTATTAATAAAAGCTCTAAATAAAGTTTTCAAGCTGGGTGGTACTTGTCCACAAGTCATAAACATAATATTTAGAATGTTGATCGTTTCTGGGATGTGTATAATCTAGCAAAAGCACTTGGTACGAAGCTTCTTGTTAACAACCTCCAACTACATAACACCTCAACATAGTGCGTGCTATGTCACGTAAGTCAAATTTCTGGTTATGTGTCAACTTAACCGACAAAATTCGGTCAAATATAAAAGAAATAAACAAACAATAGCACTGGTCACTACTGTATGGTAAATCAATTTTAAAGGAACTATTGTATAGGTTGTTAGTTTCTAATATTAAATTATTGATTTTATTCAAGAGTTGGTTTTGCACATCAGGACATGTATGTACCTAATATGATAATGAAAATATGCTTTATTTTTTAAACGAAATTTGGAACGACCAGTAAATTACATTGATTATGTATTGATTTAGATACATAGTTGGCTATTCATAAATAACCTAGGACTTGATACTAAAGCATATTGGTCGAAATCAAAACACATAACATCAACACCGTGAGATTAGTAATTGACTTCATACGAATTGAAAACATTACTCTATCATGTCTAATTAGATTTTCCAAATGATCATTTCTCACCATGTGATCATAAATAATGTCTTCTAAGTAAATATTTAGTTTGGAAAGGTAACTTATTTCTCTTTTACTCTAAAATTGTTATTGATCAATATATCTCTAAATTTTGGAATCTCTATTCGATACTTAAAATATAATTTTGACCAAATCCATAGGGACTATTTGCTTTCTATCCATCTGTTAATGGTAAGCAGTTAATACCAAATATGTTTTATATTAATAACAGCAGTGTTTTCGTAGATTATCTTAAAATAGAGTCATACCAATTTACTTTATTATTGTTGTTATGATTTGAACACATAAGTATTGGTGCAACGAGGCACCAAATACATATAAGCCACACAAATTACTTGATTTGTGTTGGGCTGTGATACTGCCCGGGTGCCCAAACAAGTGGTTTTGTTGGGGGGGGGAACTCTCGAAGCCTTTGACCTAAAGATCTAATCCATAAGGCAGTGGGGTAACGTTAGGAGATGCAGTCCTATGGTAACCGGTGACCAACAATTGGTTCATACATCATTAGATCTTTCCGAATACTGGAACCCATGTGCATCATTCGTTTAGAACCAGGGTTTTCCAACTCTCCTAGGTGGACCCTCCGTGGAATTTGCTTAATTCTGAAAATAATGATTCGAAAAAATGAGTATCTATATTGAATTATACTCTATATTTGGTATTTATGTTTCAACTGAAATATTGATATATATATATATATATATAAATATACTGAACCTGTCCATATACTTCACTGTATAATACTCTTATAGGTCTACTGTATCTTTCATCTTTGGTCAAGTTAATCATTATGTTCTTATTTACAAGAGATCATCTATTCTATGAAATGTTCTTGAATAAACATGTGTATTTTAGTTGAAACTTATGCATAACACTTTGTCACCTGAAATCATTAAGACAAAAAAATGATAAAAAGAAAATAGTTATCTAAGTGTAAATTAGAAATACGATAGTAAAAGGGTATGTGATATTTCTGTAGAGTGAATGGATATCATTATGCATAATATATGAGAAATGGAAAAGTACATTTTTCATATATTTAAGTATATTTACGGTAAAAATTAAGAAACTGGACAAAATTATTATGGTATTTGATTTACAATTCTATTTTGTTTCCTAGTAACTTCATATTTCATCTTAAATGTTTATGACATCTGTTGTAAAAGTG